ATGCGTTAAGTGGAAAAGATAGATCCAAAAAAAAATAAAAAATCACCAACACCAGTATCATTATTTGGTCAAAGAACATGGTCGACAAGTCCAAAGTACATCTATTACTTTATTTGTTTATGGAAAGGAAAATTATATCGTCCAGTACTTGTTGTCCATAGCAATGACACAGATAATGAAGAGTTTAGGATTGCCACCAGATGATTCTCTCGGCAGATGAGTTAGAAAGGAAATTCTAAATGGAACTTCTTAAGATTTCCTATTGTGACTTATTTCCGCAACGATATTTAATAAGAGCCATCAACAATTGTAGAGACATTAGCAAATGTAATCAAAATTGTTTATTCACATGCAACCATGAACATACTTGCGGAATTAGATTTGAGATAATTTTAGCATCACACGTTAAAGGATCATTAAGAGCAAAAGATGGAAGGAAAAGTACAACAACAAAAAATCGTAAATGTTGAATATAACCAGAATCAAATAAGATGCATTGGATGACTCATTAAAAATATTCTTTGCACATATCCAAATTGTGACATGGACGTCTTTATGTATTTTCCCACGTGCTCTTTAGTAGCATCATGAAGCACATTTATCTCAAATCCGGCCTGGTCTACGAAGCTAATTTTGCTAGTCTTAGAAATACCAAAGCACTTTGATGAGGATTCGTGAGAGGATTTACTGCAAGAAAATGAATAAAGTACTAATTTCAAAATTTAAACTGAATGTCAAACATATCAATCATATTAGGCAGAGTGAAATTTTCCAAAATAAAAGGTTACATTCTAACAGTTCAGCATATTGGGTTAACCATAAAATATACATGAAAACTCACTGAAGCACTGTCAACAAGAAAACTATTGACTTACATAATTAGTTTAGATATTGCAAATCATATTAGAGAGTAGAGCCACATTAATCTACTTTTTTATGTCTTTATTTATACAGGCATTCATCTTGTGTAAGTAAATCACATTGGACATCTCCGACATAATTCTTACAGGTCCAAACGTATCCATCATCACTCTTCATGATGTATGCCACCATGTCATCGATCAATTGATGCTCATACCTAGGGGAAGCATATATGTCTTAGAAAACAGTGTGAATGGGCACATTAAGGTTCTATACATCAAAGATATAAAAACCAATCACAGTGAGTGTTCTTCAAGTTGCTTCTTCCACTTCTATTCATGTAACTCCTTAAATATATCCTAGAACAGTTGAACCTGAGATAGTGAAAATATTGATATAAATGGTATTATACAGATATATTTCATTTTATTAATATTATAACAGTTGACCAAGTTTTTCGTAAACAAATTACCCGCCATCATACTTCTTAAGAATTGTATTCTTTATGCTCAAGTGGAGAGACCATTGTTTGCAAATGCCATTGCCTCTACGATTTTGCAAATGCTTGAGTAGACCAGCAAATTTTCACAAAAATCCAAATGATGAGGCAAAAGGCTATAAAAGTGGCATAAGAAAAGATTCAATATGCAGGTGAGTTGTGTAGAGACTAACCTGATCAACATTATACATGGCAAGGGTAACACAAGGTCATTTAAAGTCATAGACATCCAATTCCAAGGGTCCTTCCCCATTTTCTGGCATTGGGAATGACCAGGGAAAGAACAGGAGAAATATGTAAAGAATGGGTTGTTCGAAAGATATAGCTTATGGCAGATTTACTTACAACAACTACGACAAAGTGAAATGACCAAAAGCCATTTTAAGTTTTCCACGTCATTTTATGATTGAATTAGTGGCACTGTATTGATAGCCAATGGAATGTTTGCCAATGCAAATTGGTTTATTCCAATATGTAGAAAAATGATCAAAGTAAATAAATGGTGATATCATATATTGTATTTATGTACAGAGAGGGAGAAGCAGAAGTACGAAGAACAATTCTGGAAATGTTGCTGCAAAAGATTGGTAAACTTTAACTTTTATAAGAATTTTCTAATAAATAAAAATACGAAAATTATGAAATAATCAATAGTGGAAGAATAAACCTTAAAGAGGAAGCTCAAGTTTAAACATGGGAGCCTTTGGTATCACAA